AAAAAAAAAAAAAAAAAAAAAAAAAAAAAAAAAGAAAGAAAGAAACTTTTATTGACTGGATATGGTAAACCCCACCTTTAATTCTAGAATTTGGGAGGTAAAGGCGGGCAATCTCTGTGAGCTTAAGGTCAGACTGCTTTACATAGTAAATCCAGGCCAGCTAGGGCTATATAGTGTGACCTGTCTTAAAATTAATTAATTAAAATGAATGTAAAAACAAAAGCAACAACAAGTAGCTTTTTTCCTGGAGGCGTGCTTTCTTCCACCTTGCCAGGGTCTCATGTGGCCAGGCTAACCTCAAACTCGCTGTGTTAGCTGCGACTGGCTTTGAATTCCTGATTCCTGTGCTTCCATCTCCTAAAGGCTTTAATACCAGCTGTGCACCAACCCCTGTATAACACCCAGATAATACAACTCTTGCTGTAGTTTTCCTTTCAGATATGTGGAGACTTTTATGGTATAGACTGCTGTGCTAACTTGCTACTAAAAGTGACAGTATATTGGACAGGCGGCAGAATGTAGAAAAATGCCTTGGTTTGCTTTTGGGGTTTATGCCTTAGACTTCAGTAGTAGCCAACAGCTCCCCCTACTCCACGGAAAACACTGTATCATAAAAGGGCAAAGACCTTTGAGAAATGATCAAGGTGGCACTTTTGTATATGTCTGGTTTTATTCATTTATTTATCTCATATTCAACTATGTACATATTCAAGTATGTACAGGTATACAGTGATCCCTGAGCCTTGGGAAGAGATGCAGATGCCCCCCTTCAGGCCTGAGCATCCTGCAGTCTCCCTCATGCCCTGCCCCTCGGCCAGGTGTGTTGTCTCTGTGCCAATCACCACTGACCGCATTAAAAAGCTTTCCTGATGAGGGCGGAGAGACGTGCTCATCTCGAGTAGGTAAGTTACTGGTAGTTAACTTCATATTACATCCACTTAGCATAGTCACAGTAGTAGGTTCCACCCAAGGGCCTATGACCCACCTAGTCACAGGTTCTTGGCCCCAGTAATGGTGCCAGGCATAGGTTGCATCTTGTGGAATGGGCCTTAAATCCATCAGAAAGTGGTTAGTTACTCCCACGACATTTGTGTCACAACTGCACCAGTGGGTATGTCTGGCGTCATCACACCTGGAAGTTCATAGCTGAGCAAGAGAGACCACTATGACCTTTGTCTTCCAGTAGGGGGCGTAGCACCTTCCAGCACATTGAAAACAAGCCAGCTGGGACGAAGCCTCCAGCCAGTACCAGCTTGATTTCACCATGTTCTAATGACTCAAATAGGTGGTGCCTTCAGCAATAGGGTCTTACGATCATGTCTGGAAGGCAGCCAACAGCATTGTCAAAAGTCTGCAATTCTGAGGGTCTATGGGACTTTACTGACCAACAACTACAAAAGAAGTAACCCACAGGCTTTTTATTTGTTGACTTGTGTTGTCTAGTGGGGCATTGTTGGCCCATTATAGGATAACTCCATTTAAATTCTTTATACATGTGCATATGCATATTTTAGGAAACTTCTAGTAGGTTTTTCTACGACTTTTCCAAAAGGGCTTTAGTGTTGGTTATTTCTCCTCATGTTCTCTCTTCTTTCAATATCCAACCCCATTTTTTTTTTTTTTTTTTAAGACGCAGTACCTCACTGGGGTCTGAGGCTTGCAAACTGGGCTGGGCTGGCTGGTCATGGAGCCCAGGGAGCTGCTGTCTCTACCCTAGCTCTGGGATTGTAAGCGACATCACTGTCGGCTTCCTACATGGATGCTGGAGATCAAACTCAGGCTCTGACACTTGCGCAACAAGCGAGTTAACAATGGCGCCGCACCTGGCAGCCTTTAATCCCAGCACAGGCAGAGGCAGGCGGATCTCTGTGAGTTCAAGGCCAGCCTGCTCCACAGCACAAGTCCTGGGACAGCCAGGGTTCTGTCTCAGAAAAACCAAAAACCAAACAAACACAAACCAACCAACCAACTAACCAACCAACCAACCAACCAACCAACCAAACAAACAAACAAACAGAACAAATCCCCAACCAACAAACCAACCAACAACCAACGACAAGAACAAATCCAAAAGACAAAAAAAACATAACAGGGGCTGGAGAGATGGCTCAGTGGTTAAGAGCATTGTGTGCTCTTCCAAAGGTCCTGAGTTCAATTCCCAGCAACCACATGGTGGCTCACAACCATCTGTAAAGAGGTCTGGCGCCCTCTACAGGCATACAGACAGAATATTGTATACATAATAAATAAATAAATAAATGTTTAAAACAAAACAAAACAAAACAGTCACAAAACCAATGAGCCTTTCTCAGTTATTTGGCTTTGTGAGGCTGAATCCAGGGTTTCCCATGTGGATGAGGGCTGCCTGCTTTTGTTACTTGAATAACATGCTGACAGCCTTACGCTGTGGACAGACTCTCAGAACCAAGACTGCTGAGTCTCCTGGTGATAACTGGGGAATATTCTGCTCTCTAGTAACTCAGCAAAAACCAACTAAAACAGAGAGAGGTCAGAGTGAACCCCACACCTTTATCCCAGTACAAGCAAGGGGGGCAAGTGGATTTCTATGAGCTGGGGAAAAACAAAAGAGAGAGGAGGAGAAAAGAAGAAAGAGAGAGAGAGAGAGAGAGAGAGAGAGAGAGAGAGAGAAAAGAAGAGAGAGAAGGGGGTGATATTCATTTTAATTAATCACTGAGTGTTTTGGGGGAGGCCCTCTTATTACTGCAGAGTACTTAGAAACATCAGAGACCTAAAAATCTGTCATGAGACATTATGTAACATATATTAAACTAAATTTCTTTATGAGGAATAATGGCCTTTCCTAGATCTGGATCCATGAGACAAAATACGTATGTAATGACTTTAAAATGACCAGAGGTCAAACACCGTAGCCATAAATTGTAAGATCGCAGTTTCCAGCGAGCTGTGTGTGGGAGCCAGCTGGCAGACAGTTATCCTCTGCAGCGCCCCAAAGCCAGCATTGTGAACAACGCTTTACTATTGTGCCAGCTGTTTGCTTAGGCCCCATAGATGTGATCACTTAGAGGACTCCAAATGCAGAGAAAGCCGTGCCAGCGGCATTCCGTCCCAAACTTGACCGCTGACACCCACCCACAGTTTTTCACTTTTTGACCTGACCGCTGGTCTGTGGTTTGGCTTATTGGATTTCCATTCCTTGCATCTAGCGTTTCTCAAAGTCTCGCTCTCCCTCTCTTTCTCTTTTGACTGTTGATTTTTTTTGTTTTCGTTTTTGAGACAGTCTAATACTGTATACCAGACTGGCTTGGACTTCACCAAATAGCCCGAGCTGGTCTTGAACCTGTGACAATTTTCTTGCCTTAGCCTCTCAAGTGTTAATTAGGATGACACTATGGGCCACCATGTACAACGTGTTCGGGTCAGAAATAGCTGTGTTTTAAAAATACATAAAGAAGAAAACAAACAAAACAATGACAGCCACAAACAGGCATGGTAGCTCATGCCTGTGTTCTCGGCATTCGGGAAGAGACAGAAGGATTGCCACAAGTTCAAGACCAGTCTGATGTACAGAGTAAAACCCAGTCTCAATAAATATACAAACAAACAAGTAAACAAAAAATTATAACACACACATACAAACTCACACAGGGGAGAGTATTTACTCACTGGATGGTAGAAACGGTGCTGATAATTTGGTATACAGCAATCTAGGTTTTTAAATGCATGTGTATATATTTTTAAATTCTCGTTTCAAAAATTGTCTTCTACCTATTCCTTAAAACCAGCTCGTTTCGTAACATACCCCCCCCCCCGTGCCATTAAATATTTGCCCTATTAAGAAAGAATTCGATTTTACGCAGTGGTTAGAATGAACGTATATAAATCATTATTGCCCAAAAGACAGCACAGGCGTCTAAGCATGGAGACAAACTCCTTGCAGATCTGCAACAGGCCTGCTGGAACACGCGCATTTGGCAGGGAAGAGCGGGTGAAGCCGGAGGCAGTTTCCACTAATCTCTGAGAGATGATGTTGTTGACTTACTGCTCATCTCTTGGCGTAACCACTGTTCATCTGACGATGGTTTAGGGGAGGGTGACCTAGAAGACCCTGAACTCTGGCATCGAAGGCGCCATCTACGTCCACCGAGGTTCATGCCTCGTCTAGCGCCCCCTGGTGGCTGCTACTCAACCACCCAGACAGTAAAGAATTTACCTTTTTCTTCCTTTTTCTGGTCCTATTAGATTTCTTGCTATGTTTCCAAATAGCAGTGAAGGTGTCTGAGGAGATCCGAGGAGTGACCGTAATTTTTAAGGGTGGTAGTTTACCTGAGCAAAGAGAGGAGAAGCGTAAATGAGCAGAATGGCTCACACTGTGTAGGGTGCCAAAGGGCCCGGCAGGAGATGCGTCATTACGGTTGGCGGTTGGCGTATGCAGAACTCCCTGACAGAGCATGGTGGAACTCTGCAATCCTAGGGCTCCGGAGGCCGGAGGACCAGCCAATCCCGGTGCGGTAGCCAGCTCAAGGTCACCCCGGGCCACAGAGACCCAGTCTCAAAAAAAAAAAAAAAAAAAAAAAATCAGAACCAGAGGAAGAGAAGAAGATGGGGGAGAGATAAAGGCAAAAGGAACGAAACTCCCTCTTTAGCAGATAAGAAAGTTAGTGTGGTTTCATCAAAGGAGAATTAGAAATTCCCTTGTTGGTTCGCAAACAACACGAACGCGGAAGACACTAACAGAAAGAACGTTAGTTTTATAATCAGTGTTGTTTTAGGTTTTAAAGCAGTGTCTTCAGGGCTAAATGACTAGTGATTCGCTCTGTGAAATCCAATCGGCTAACCCTTTTTTTGAGGACTCTTCACTGTGTTCAAACTAACAACCTAATTAAAGTGCTTTGTCAGAAACAGCGCCTAAGGAGTACGGCTCATGAAATAAACGCATTCAGGCTGTTCATGATGAACACTTAGACGAAACTTCAAAATCGCTGATTCCTTGAGCGGTAGATTGCCTTCTAATGCCGTTTAAAGGACTACTTGCATTTCAGGTGGGCATTCCGTAATCAGCCTCTCGTTTATGTAAATCGAGCCATTTGCTAAGCAAGCGAGACATTTTCCATTCCAGAGAGCTACTGGGTGGAAATCATTTCCCGTCAAGTCTCTCATCACGCTCCCTGCAGTAATGGGGGGGGGGGAGACCGCCTGCAGCTCAGTAATGGTCTCTGCCAGGTAGAGTGGGAAGTGGCACCAGGAAAATCAAAGTGCAGTCGTGACCTGCCTTCTGCTTAATGCACTTAAAGTGAGGTTTTAACACGATAATCCTGCTGAACTTCATCTCAGCTCTAATGGAACACGAAGTGGGTGTTCTGTTTCTCTAAAAGAAAAGGATAATTGAAAAGAAAAATCTTAGAATCATTTAATTGGTCATTAAACATGCATGGCTTTAGTTGGAAATGGAGCAATGCAGCAGACCACGACAGCCCTGTAATTCTCTTTAAATCACTGCCAGCGAAGGAAAAATGCAGCCTTGGAGTCTTACTAAAGACTTGATGAAGACAGGATGCCGCTGCCAGGGAGCTCTCCTCACTCAGCCTGCCCTCACTCTCCGCAACACTAACTTTCATACTAATATCTCCTCGTGTTTTACATCGAGCAACATTTCAAATGGCATTTCTTGCTCTCCCCGTAAGAGCAGTAAGAACAAATAAACTAAAGGAGAGGCCAGGGGTAGTCACCATTAATTGACCTCTTTTCTCTCACTTTCCAAAGGTTACAGGACCACAAGTCACTCAGGGCTGCCTGCCAGTTAGAGCCAAACCCCTCTTGGATGACTAATAAGCACACTGCGTTCCTTGTTTTCTCTCTCTCCCTCTTCTCTTTCTATGTCTCCAAGGTATCCTTATGTAGCCCAGGCTGACCTCGGACTTGAAAGGGTCCCGTGCCTGGCTGGCTCAGCTGTGTCTTAGGGCAGTGGCTACTTCAGTTCTACAGTCGATTTCTGTACAAACCACATTAGGTTGAGCTGAGAGGTGAACAGAGAACAGGAGAAACTTTCTTGGTGAATAAGAAAGGAAAGAGAAGGGCTGGAGAGATGGCTCAGAGGTTAAGAGCACTGGCTGCTCTTCCAGAGGTTCTGAGTTCAGTTCCCAGCAACCTCATGGTGGCTCACAACCATCTGTAATGAGATCTGGTGTCCTCTTCTGGTGTGCAGACAGAATACTGTATTTGTAATAAATAAGTCCTTTTTTAAAAAAAAAAAAAAAAGGAAGGAAAGAGAAGACAGAAAAAGCAAAAGTTATAGAGAAAAAGGTATTAAACAAACAAACAAACAACAACAACAAACCCAGCCAGGCTGGGAATATGCTGCAAGCGTAAGCTACTTCAGAGACAGAATTATCTCGACACTGGCCTAGGACAGAGGAAAACCATCACTCAGAGGCTCACAGGGGACACACAACATTGTAAAAGTTCTTGAGGTTTGCACAAGTCTCTTGGCATGTTGACCCAATGGAGCCTTTGACCCCCCCCCCCCCACACACACACGGCTCATTGCACAGTTCAGATTTGTCATTTAAACAATGGGGCAGTTGCGTCTAGTTCAGGGCCCAGGGAGAAGAGGATGAAACTAGACCTGTCTTCCTGGTTCTCAGGGCTCCCAGGATGTCCACCGCAGCCGTTTCTCCCAGGACATTGTTTCCAAGGTCGAGTTCCCTTAAGTGAGGGGAGTATTTGATCAGGCTGCATAGAGAAAACAATGAAACAAAACGGCTTCGCACCTTGTGTGGTTCACGGTCCCTCAGAGAAAGTCAGTTCAGAATTTCAGAGAACGCCCCTTCTTTTCAGGCTCCTCAGCCTCTCTGCCCCTTCCCAAGTTGATGCGATGGCCCTACTTGAGACTGGAGAGGTGTTGAGCCCGCTTGTTGAACCTGGATGAGCCTCTCTACTTTGGAAGAGTCTGCTTCTCTTAGGAAAGCCGATGCAAGCTTTTCCCGCCATAAATCTTTCTTTTATTCATTTACTTTAAAAAGGCTCCATGTGCCGGGTGGTGGTGGCGCATGCCTTTAATCCCAGCACTCTGGAGGCAGAGGCAGGTGGATCTCCGTGAGTTCGAGACCAGCATGGTCTACAGAGTGAGTTCCAGGACAGGCTCAAAAGGTACATAGAGAAACTCTGTCTTGAAAAACAAACAAACAAAAAGCTTCCATGTAAGACTTCTTAGTCATTTATATATTATATACCAGAAAAATATCAAAATATTTGAGAGACTGACCATGGCTTGATGACTTTTAGAATGTCAAATAATAATAACTCTTCCCTGGTGATTTTTTTAATGTAATTTATTTATTTTGGATAGGGTCTCTCTATGTAGCCCTGGCTTGCCTAGAACTTGCCATGTAGACCAGGCTGGTCTCAGACTCACAGAAATTTACCTGCCTCTGCCTCCCAAGTACTGGGATTAATTTCACATAAAATTAAGAAAGGCAAGCTGTTGTGGGATATTTGTATACTCTATGAAGATATTTTGCTGTGATTTGGTGTAATAAAAAGCTAAACAGCTAATAGCTAGGCAGGAGGTATAGCAGAATTTCTGGGGAGAGAAAGGAAGAGGAGGAGGAATTTAGGCACGTGGGAGATGCCAGGAGACATGGAGAGGAAACGGGAGGTGCAAGATGGAAGAGAGGTAGCACCACATAATAGAATTCATATAGATTCATATAAATGGATTAATTTAAGTTTTAAGAGCTAGTTAGGAATAAGCCCAAGCTATAGGCTGAGTTTTCATAATTAATAATAAGTCTCTGTGTCATTTTTTGTAAGCTGGAAGACCAAAGAAAAACCCAACTACAGCAAGCCTTGGGTCTGGAGAGATGGCTCAGCGGGTAAGAGCACTGACTGCTTTTCTAGAGGACCTTGGTTCAGTTCCCAGCAACTGCATAGCCGCTCACAGCCGTCTGTAACTCCAGTTCCAGGGCATCTGATACCCTCACACAGACATACATGCATGCAAAACACTAACGAACATTAAATACAAATAAATTATTTTAAAAAGGCCAGCTTCAGAATAACAATTTTAAAATCAGATGAATTAGCTTTATGAGGACAAAACCACTGTACTTTGGTCCTACCTAAGGACTCTAGGCCCAACTTATAAGACCGGTAGAGACCAGGAATGTTCAGGGTGGTGTGACCAGTGCATTTTCCTTATTTCTTGGTTGGTTATTGAGAATTCTTGGCCTGGCAGTGTTCTGCTGGCTGGTTTTGTGGAGGTGGCATTGAGGCAAAGACCTGGACTTCTGGTCAGCCCTGACCTTTCATTGACCATGGGCAAGGCATGTGCCCTCATGGGTCTAACTTTCCATATCTGCAAAACTAGCCAGCAAGGGGCTTTGTGGTCTTTTTTATGAGGCTGCAGTGAAGACAGAATGATTCTTTCCTGAGTACATGTTAGTCTAAGTACAGCAAGGACTCAAGGAAAGTTAATTCATGGTCTCTGGTTCAGAAGTAAATTATGATGTGATTATCAAGAGATCAGTCCCGGGTCATCATCACATAGGAGGGCTTGAACTTTCACGTAGGTCAGTGCTGGCTTTGTGGTCTCATTGGCTCTGCTGCTCAATGCCCACACTTTCCACTGATTCAGCAGCCAGAGCTGAAGCTGTCAGCCTATGCTTATCAAAGATCTCAAGGAAGCATCTGCCTAGGACTTGAACAGTTTCAGCTCCCAGATCTGTCCATGTTCCTCAGACAAGATGGGTAAGAACAGGGAACCACAGCTGGAGGGATGGCTCAGTGGTTAGAGCACTTTTTGCTCTTGCGGAGGACCCAGGTTCAGTTCCCAGCTCCCACATGGTAGCTCACACAGACTTGTTCCGGGTAATCTAATCCTTCCTCTGGTCTCCAAGGATACTGGGTCATATGTGGTGCATATACGTGCAGGTAAAACATCTGTACACATAAAAATAAATGAATCTAAAAAGAACTAAAAGATAAAGGAAGGGGTGCTGCCAGGGAAAGGAGACCCACGGGAGAGGAAGGGATGCCGAAGACTGACTTGATAACTCAGCTCTGTGTCTGTGACGTTTGGGGAGCTGGGCCTCACTGGTGTTGCTGTGCCTTGGCCGCCACCAGGGCCATCCCCAGACTTGAGGGCTTCTGCCCTACAGAATTGCCCCCCCAGAGGCTTCAGTTTCCTGCCCAGTGCTGAACCCAGAAGCCTGGACGTAGAGGGGACTTCATTTGCTCCACTGGCCAGAGGAGGTGCCTCCTTCCCTCCTATTTGGACAAAGGAGGAGCGAGATCCCTGAATGCGGCTTAGCTCTTTGCATAAATGATTTATTTAACTTCTGTCTCCTGTGTTAGACACTACTACCATGACCATTTCACAGGAGGGAATCAGAGCCCTGGAATCCACGATAAGCAGACAAAGGAGGTAAGAAGGGAGAAAAGTGAACCTAAGAGCAGTAAGAGTAAAGAAAACTTAGGCCAGGCAGTGGTGGCGCACGCCTTTAATCCCAGGCCTGGGGAGGCAGAGGCAGGCGGATCTCTGTGAGTTTGAGGCCAGCCTGGTCTACAAAGCAAGCTCCTGAACAGTTAGAGCTACACAGAGAAAGCCTGTCTCAAAAAACAAAACAAACAAACAAACAACAAAAAAACAAAAAGAAAAAAGAAAATGAAATAATCAAAAATTAAAGAAAACCAAGAGCCGATTCTCTGAGACCAGTAACATTGATAAGTTTCTAACCAAATGTACAAGAAGAAAGAGAGAACATAATGACCAATGTCAATGAAAAAGATGTTTCCACAGCACCTACAGTTTCTAAAAGGACAATAAAGAAATATGAATAACTTTATTCTAATATATTTGACAATGTATATAAATACATTCTTTGAAAGAAACAAACTAGAATATGTCGGGCAAAATCCCTCAATGCCAGAAGGGCCTTATACTAAATGTTTGGTTGGTTGGTTGGTTCAGTGTAGGGAGTTAAATCGAGGCACACAAGACCCTGGGTTTAACCTAACATATACTGCTTTGAAAAATGAGTTTTGGTTGAACTAAGTGTGGTGGCAGATGCCTGTAACCCCAGGGTTCAGGAGGCTGAGGCAGGAAGGCCATGAATTTGAGGCCAGCACAGGCAGCAAGTGAGACTTGTATAAAAAACCACAAAACCCCCTGCTGAGAAAGCTCCAGGCGTCAAGGGCTTCTGATCCCAAGCAGGCAAATGTATTATATAGAATGAGAGTGTGAATCCGTGTAGCTCATGGATGTAAACACAAAAATCCTGAACACGTCTTCAGCAGCTTACCTCAGCAACATATTAAGTTCAAAAAGATACCGAAATAGAAACTATTGATGTAGTTATCTGGGAAAGGGCAGCATTGATCGCCAGCTGGGAAGCCTTCCCATCCTTCTTGAGTAAGGAAGGAGGAACCTCTTTCTGCCGAGATAAAAGCTGCTACCCATCAGCCTTCAGGCTCTGACGTCAGCCGTGCCCAGAGATCTTGGCCGCCAGTGGTGCTGTAGCCATGAGACAGTGCTGCCCAGAGCCCTTTTTTACCCTGCAGTTCCTGCAGTGGTTGCAAGCCCTGCCAATGATTGGTCAGCTTAAGGTGTGGGTTCAGTAGAGATGGATGGGAGAATGCCTCAGGTTGTCAAAATAAGCAAGACAGGGAAACAGTGCTTTCTAGAAGTTTCTGAGAATTTTAGTTGCATCTTTTGCTTTAAGCGTCCAGGGTGGGTAGCTTCCTAGCCAAATATAAGAATGTGTGCTCCAAGCAAGCTGCCCTTCCTCCTCATGACATCAGTCAGGGTTTGAGTTATATCCTGACCTTAGCAGTAGAGGAATGGTCTAAGTCTTGCCTCCTCTATTGTCCCAACTGCCACCCTTTTCATATGAGGCTCCTTGTGAGGTTCCTGAAGGGCACAAGTACCGAGACCAGGACTGGTAAGTGCCCCTCTCCGAGCTGAGAAGCCACACAAGAATTGCTGAAAAGCTGTGATCAGCTGTCTGGTTTGGCTTCGTCCCTTTAGTTTTAGAGAGTGAATGAATTGGAAGCTCTTACTGCTCCCCACCGTGTTAAAGTTCCAGTGAGTTCCAGCAATTGCTCTCCCTCTACTCCTGTCCCGTCGATGCTGTTATCTGCCAGATGCAGCGTCACTACCCAAGGACCAGCTTCCATCAGGCGTTTAACTTTTTTCCTGATTCCTGTAAGAAAAATCGGAACACCGGTATTATTTTTAGATGATAGCTCCCCTATTTATTACCAGCTAAGCCAATTTTCCAACAGAGTTTGCACATACTGGATTTCTCAATAGACTTATTTCGCAACACAGTCAATGAGTAGAATATATGTGATTTTGGAAGTCCTGGTTTTGTGTTTGGTTCCACGTCGTCCTTTACAACAAGGCCCCAGACTGCATGACAGACAATCCGACCTCGGAGTCAGATGTCACTGTTAATCTACTAAAGAGGAAAATTATCTGCGGACCCTGGGGAGTCGACAGTTTTTATTGGAAGGGGCTTAGCTCGTTATAGAGGTCTGAGAAGCCGTCATTTTCAAGCTTTGGGTTCTAGGAAACGTCAGAAGGAGAAAAGACCGCCTGCCTCAGTGACTCACGATGGCATCACTGAGGGCCGGAGTCCTGCGTCTGGTTCACCCTCATTGGCCTGCTGAGATCTCTCAGAGTTCATCGTCAGGGCCACCAAGGGGCACAGCATACACATTTAATTCACCCCAGTTCAATCTTAGGAGTTTGAGAAAGAAGAAAACATGAAGAGAAAACAGCCGTCAGCATAAGTCAGGCTCATCCACTCAGCCAGGAGAGGTGGGAAACCGGAACCACTGCTCCCCAAGCTAGAGTGCTCCCTGAGGCCTTCCCAAGCTCACTGTTCCGTGAACTGCTTTAGGGGGGACTGGCCTGAAGGGTAAATGGTTTGATTTAAAGCGGGGAAGAGCCAGCGGGGTGACTCAGAAGGCAAAGGCACTTGTTGCCAAACTTAATACCATGCACTATTGGTTTTGTATAATGCCTTGATTCCACTCATGAACATGAACGGAGTATGATTTTTCATTTATAAAAATTTTTCACAAATCTAAAATGCCTTTGAGAGTGGAGTATCTGCCCCGATGAGGTGGATACTGACCACACCGGTTCTCATTTCTTTCTCCTAATTTCCACACACCAGAAAGTAGCAAATGGTAAAACCTGAGCCATCCTCAGCCAGGGATGAGGACTGAAGGCCAAATTCCTAGACAGATGCTCAGCTTTGCAAGGAGAGTCACTGTCAGGCACCCAGCACCCTGCTGTATCAGCTCGGTGTAAATTGTGCCTTTGGAGAGGGAGCCTGCTCGGCCTGTGTTTGACTGGGCATAGCTGGCATCCCCATGGGCAAACTGTCTCAACCGCTCCCAAACTGGCATCAAGGAGTAATGAAAACATCACTTTTTGCCCACGACAAATGGACCAGATTGGAAGATGGACCTCTCATGAGATTCATAAACTTGCAAAGAATGCAGGAAGACAGCGGCCACTCGGGTCCTGCTTTGGTGCTGGTCTGGGGCTTTAACCAAAGCAACACCAAGCTCTTCTTTCTGGGAGGAAAACAAATTCTTAGGATACAGATGAGGACACGCTCAGCCCCTGGTCATACTTGATCTGCCCCAGCTGTACTCACTCTAATCTATTTTTACTCCTTTTTTTTAAAAAAATTATTAATACTTTAAAACCAAGCCAGGTGTGGGATGAAGCGATGACTCAGCAGTTGAGATCACTCGCTGTTGTTCCAGAGGCCCCGGGTTCCATTTTCATCACAAATATCTGTAGTTCCAGTTCCAGGGAATCCAATACTTTTTTCTGGCCCTTCTGGGCACCAAGCATCCACATGGAGCATAGACAAAAATACCCATACACACAAAAAAATAAACAGACGGGTTCTCTAACAATAACTGTCTGAACGCACTTTTCTGTCATGGAGAACCTGGGTCCAAAACTACACAGAGAAACCCTGTCTCAAAAAACCAAAACCAACCAACCAACCAACCAAACAAACAAACAAACAAAATGACCTGTGGTGCCTATAAAGTACCTAAACATCTCTGAGTCTCATTATAAGAGAGGCCGTTATCCCATCTCCTGGCATCATTCTGAGGGGAGACAAGTAGCATTTTCAATGACCAGTTGTGGAAGACCATAGTGCATGGCACACAGTGGTGCCTTGCTTCCTGGTGTCATTTCTGACTTCCCTGAATTCCTAAAACACTGCATGCAAGCAACCTGGTAACTTATTAACAAGTGTCCCCCTACCAAAGGGTCTGACATTTATTTCAGACATTGACACACCTAACCTGGAAGTCACTCTGCATGCAGATGGATCCAGGTCTACCCAGCCGAATGAGTTTCCGTCTTCCTGGTGGTCCATTCTCTCTGTCTTGGAGAATTGCCCAAGATCAACAGCTCAGTTCCACTATGCTCCTGTCCCACTCTGAAACCTTAACCTCGGCATTCAGGAAGCAGAACAGGGGAATCAGGAGTTCAAGGCCATCCTCAGTTAATAATGAATCCAAGGCTCTCCTGGGATACTTAAGAATTGTCTCAAAAAACCAAATACAAATCAACTAAACAAACAAACAACAAAGCAAACAACAACAAAACTCAAAAACAAAATCCCTGAAACTCCAAACAAACAAACAAATACTCAAAACCACCTGGCAATCGCCTGTCACTAGAAGCCAGCCTTGAGTGCTGTTCCCACTTCGGTTCTGGCCTGTGTTCTCTACTCCCTGTCTGGCTGCTGTGTGTGAAAATCCGCCCCACACTCCTTCGGCTGTGTGTTTCCCACCAGGATGGACTGTGACCTCTCTGAAACTTGAGTCAGAATAAGCCCTTCCTCCGTGAATGGCTTCTGTCAGGTGTTGTCATAGCAATGAGACAGGGGCCTATTTCTCATGGATGAGACAGGGGCCTATTTCTCATGGGCGGGGTGTGGGGGTGTGTGTGGCTGAGACAGCTTCGTCTTCTCCCTCACCCTCTGGTCTCCTTTGGTCCAGCAGGACAAGTGGCACCACACATTCTGTAGGCGTCAGAGCCTGCAGTGCTTGTCTGTAGACACCAGGCCTTCCTTGAGGTAGATTTTTTTTTTCCTGGTTGAGACAGGTTTTCTCTGTTTAACAATCCTAGCTATCCTGGGGCTAGCTCTGTAGACCAGGCTAGCCTAGAACTCACAGAGTTCTGCCTGCCTCTGCCTCCTGAGTGCTGGCGTTAAAGGCACGTGCAATCACTGCCTGGCTACAATTCTTTTAAAGTTGTTTAGATATAACATCCTCCCACTGATAATGGATACATGCAATTCCCCATGTGCCACCCCATTTTATGAAAGTGAACTTCATCTGCTCGATGATGGGACTCCAGAAAACAGAATGTGAAGAGTGCTGGCTGGTTCACACCAAAGATCCTGGGACTCCAGAAAACAGAATGTGAAGAGAGCTGGCTGGTTCACACCGAGGGTCCTGATCCCTTTCTGTAGAGGTTTCCAGTCTACGATCAGCTGTCCCCAGCTGAAATCACGAGTACAGTGACTTCAGGATTGTAACTGGTAGCTTCCTGTTTTTGAATTAATACAGCTTTTGAAGATTACATCTTGACTCTTGAAGTGGGCTCTTGCATTCCTTACTGCCACTGGTATTTCTGTGGGCTGTGGCTTCGATATCAACAATAGTGCCTTATTTGGACAACTGAACCTGACTTGGCCAGCTTGCTACTGGAGTCAAGTTCTGATCTCATCAGGATCGAGGAAGGACTATTGCCCCTGTTCATACAGCTAAGTCACAGGTGGACTCTTCTCATCCTCAGTCCTCCAGAATTTAAACACTGGGGACTGCTACACTGGCTATACTGTGTAGCTTCAGCTGGGGAAAGAATTGGCTCCAAGACACTCCTTGCTCCCCACTGTGTCTTCTGGGGCTGTGAGGGGTGTTGAGGTGTTGAGGTGCAGGACCAGCAGAATGGCTCAGGAGAACCTTGCTATCTTCAGGTGGCTATTCCTCACGACCATTTGGTGACTCCTAGCCTTTGCCATCCCCTGCTGCTGCCTGCATAGTTGGTGACGGGGCTGTAGAAAAGCTGGGCGTCGCCTGTTTGAAGGCTGACCAACCTCTAAACTCTTGTACACAACCTCGTGTAGACAGAGCTTGGGTCTCAGAGCTGGATCCACAGAGGCTGGATGAACCCGAGCAGCCCAGCAGGATGGGCTTGGCCTGTTTGTTCTGAGGTTCCCAAGGCACAGAAGGGGCATCAGAGAACCCCACTCCACTCTCTCATCTTCTTCACTGAGCAAAATAAACCAAGGGAGGCAGTCAATGTTTTCATGTTTAAAGAATTGGTTCCCAGGGGCTGGAGAGATGGCTCAGTGGTTAAGAGCATTGCCTGCTTTTCCAAAGGTCCTGAGTTCAATTCCCAGCAACCACATGGTGGCTCACAACCATCTGTAATGAGGTCTGGTGCCCTCTTCTGGCCTGCAGGTATACACTCAGACAGAATATTGTGTATATAACAAATAAATAAATATTAAAAAAAAAAAAGAATTGGTTCCCAGTGATCTCTCTGGACCAGCAGCCTCAGCCTTTCCTCAGGCTCCCGCAGGATGGCACCCACAGGATGGCGCCCAAACTCTCAGGGTCGAACAGCACTGGTTTAATGATTCTGTGTTCAGTGGTGCAACCAATGCAGAATGGCCGGGACAGGCATGTGTTTAATTGCAGGTAGCCACATAGGATACTGTGTACAACTGCAGGTAGCCACATAGGATACTGTGTACAACTGCAGGTAGCCACATAGAATACTGAGCTCTGCCATCAAACTATAGACAGCCACCCAATGTCAGTTGTCTCGTTTTTGTGGTTATCACTGTAAATGTTCTCAGGACTCCAAATGAGAGGAGAGTCAGGGGAAGGGCTAGGCTACTGAGTGGCATTTGGCCTCAGAAGGTACTGTGGGGATGGCTATCCAAGCAGCAGGCCAAAAACCTCCTTCCACAATGGGTGTGTATGAAAATATTTTGGCTGTTTCCAATCAGGACCAAATGGAAACCATCTGTCCTCCTCACCCAGGAGCAGGGCACAATCAGCTCCTCTCGGCCCCTCACTTTGAAACAGGTAGAGTCCTACGAAAGACCAGAATCTCTCCCACAACCCCCATGACTCTTAAGCAGTTGTCCAATGTGAGAAGAGAAGGTTATCTTTTTAGATGTAGCCTTGGCTAGCCTATGACCCTCTATACAGACCAGGCTAGCCTTGAACTCATATAACTCTATTCCCCTGTGCCTCATGAGACTTGTGGCATCATGTCCTGCCTTTGGAAAGGTGTTTTGAAGTTTTGTTATCCCTGAAAATACACACACACACACACACACACACACACACACACACACACACACAATGAAAATTGTTCCATTAAGTTCAGGCTGAGGAGACTAATGGCCTCAATTGTCTCCTGGGTCAAATCCAAACCCTTGTCTTGGCTTGTAGGTCCCTCAATGTGATCCATTCCCTCAGAAGGGCCAGTCTCCTGCATCCTCTTGTCTTGGCCAAACTTGTGGGCTCCTGGATGGTACTGGGAAGGCCTTTCCTACTTACGTCCTTCCTTGTCCGAGTTCTTTCTTGTTCCCACCCTAGGTCATCTTGCCCCCAAAGCTTTTTCTCTGATCCCAACTCTGGAGCAGAATGCCCTTCTGCTGCTCCAGAGAACACACCAAAGGCCACTTCTTTAGACTTGGAAACGTTGACTGCCTTCTCTATTAGCATTACCCAATGGGAAAACTGCATCCAAGACACACAGTAGAACAGGGCCTGAAATGCCTTCATGCTTTATAATCTCCCCCACTTCTCTCTCTTACCCCAAGGTCTCCTATAGCCCGGGTTTGCCTCAAACTTTGCTTTGTAGCTGAAGATAACCATGACCTCCTCAATCATCCTCCTTCTGTCCTTCCAGCCAATGAGAAAAGGGGCATGTACCCGGCTTTACATTTTCATGCGGCTTTTGGACAACAAGAGTCTGTAATTTTCTAATGTAGCTGTATTTCACAGAAAAGGCTCAACGATAATTCAAGGGCAGAAAAAAACGACCACACAAGAACAGATTAAAATTGAAGAAGGAAAGAGGCCAAGGAGATTAGGTTCCTCTCAAACAGCTGGCTGTCTTCCCCACAAAGGCAAAACACAAACCACCGAATGCTCAAACCACAGCAGCACAGGCTGCACCAGAAGAGCTTCCCAAAGGCTGTTTCATGACACACCCAGCAGCTCTCCTACTCCGCGTCCTTAGAACTTTAATGCATTAGTGCCTGGAGAGGAGCCTGTGGGGCCCTCTGCAGGGTGGGATGCTGAGAGCCAGGCAGGGTAGGAGCGCAGGAGCAGGGGCTGCAGCAACACGGTGAACTTTAGTCCTTGGGAGGCTCCTGGGGTAGTAAATCCCACTCTGAGTTCGGTTTCTTTCTCTTTCTGTCTTCCTCCCCCTTGATCGCCTTCCCCCTCCTTCACCCTATTTCTGCCCCTTCCCATCTCTCCCAAAGCCCCTTCACCGTTACCCTGGTTCTAACTCTGAGTAACCCGGATTCTGAGGCCTTGCTGGCAGCTCCTGGAAGAACTGTTCCAAACTATGCATGCTCCTCTGGAATGTTGACGGTGCCCATGATGAATTTCTCTGGCAGGCATGGCGAAACTGTTGATTGGTGGTTTGTGTGAGGTCACAAGACATCGAATCTGCTTGTTCTCCATTGGATTTGAAGTCTTTGTTTGGGATAATTATGCACCGGGAACACACAGGGAGTGAGTTAGAAGGTGAAGGGAGTGGAAAGAATAATTGAAAGGACAACCAAAATACCTCTTTCCCCTCTTTTCCTCTGGGAGGTCCTCTTCATTGTTACAGCTTCGGAAGATTTCGCAATCTGGCTCAAAGTCGAGCTTCCGCCTCCACACACTGGTTAAAAAAAAAAAAAAAAAAAAAGACAAAACAACGGTGCAGGGTCAGAGTCAAGGAAATGATTTGCGGCATCCTCTGATATTGGTGATTGTTTGGGTTCATTTTATGGACACTTCCTGCAAGGGTATTTCTCTTGGGAGAGAATTAGCCAAACAGCATCAGAATCGCTTAGGTTCTGTTGTTTGTATTTCCCTGTTGCAAAGCTAGAGGTTAACATGCAACCCAGCAGAGCCGAGTGGGGCTCCCAGAGTCATCCTGCGGTTGCTGGTGACTCCCTCAGCCACAGCTGCTTTCGATAACCATGGCCCCGCCTTCCTGAGATTGCTAAGGACAGTTATGGAGGCATACATTTTGTTGTCATGCATTAAGAACTGCGTAGGAGTTGGGCTGTGGTGGCCCATGCCTTTAAAGGCCACACGCGGGAGGCAGAGGCAGGTGAATCGCTGCGTTCCAGGCCAGGCTGGTCTACAGAGAAACGCTAACGCCAAAAAATGGCAAAAGGTGGTGGTGGCACACACCTCTAATCCCAGCCCTTGGGAGGTAGAGGCAGGTGGATCTGTGAGTTCAAGGAAGGCCAGGCTGGTCTACAGAGTGAGTTCCAGAACAGTCAGGGCATGCACACACATCCTCTCATGACTGCCTATATGAATACTGAAAACTTATTATACTGTAAAGTACGTTTTGTTTATTTATTGTTGTTGTTTTTATGAGACAGGGTTTTCCTGTGTAGCCCTGGATGTTCTGGAACTCACTCTGTAGACCAGGCTGGCCTCAAACTCACAGAGATTCGCCTGCCTCTGCCTTCCCAGTGCTGATGTCAGGTACATTTTTTTTTCTTTGGTTTTTCGAGACGGGGTTTCTCTGTAGCTTTGGTGCCTGTCCTGGAACTAGCTCTTGTAGACCAGGCTGGTCTCGAGCTCCCAGAGATCCGCCTGCCTCTGCCTCTCGAGTGCTGGGATTAAAGGCGTGCACCACCACTGCCCGGCCTGTCAGGTACATTTTAAAGTTAATATTTAAAATTTTCATTATAACTTTAAGATTTTTTTCAAAGGTAGAGACTCCCAGCATATGGCAAATATGTCAGGAAATAAAATGAAGTCTGCTATGTCGTTCCCTTCAGTGGGTCAGATCCAAACTCCCAGCAGTCTGCTGCCCGGACCACTCACGAAACTCTCTGCAAGTGCAAGCCAGCACAAGCTCTTGCAGTCAAGGGCTTTCCTTTATTCCTCCTCTCTCATCCCGGTCCTGGGGTTAGAACCTAAGGCCTCACACATGCTAGGCAAACTCTACCCCCTTCTTACACACACGCACACACGCATACACGCGCGCACGCGCACACACACACACGCACACACACACACACACACACAGTCACACATGGTTTCAAGTACTCTAGGCTAGACTCAAACTCTTCCGTAGTTTTGGGTGGACCCAGGACTTTGTGTGTGCTCAGTAAGCATCCTACTAGAGGAGCTGCCTCTCTAGCCCTTGGCTGACACCTTGACCTTGATCTTGGATTTTACCCTCTAGAACTGTGAGAGATTAATTTTCCCTTGTTTAAGCCAGCAAGCCTGTGGGATTTTGCTATGGCCACCTGAGCAAACTAAAGCAGACGAATGGAGAGTGGCTGGAGCAACAGGTTGAGCTGGATGAAGAGCAAGGCTCAGGAGAACGGAAGTGGCAGCCTAGGGGAGAAGGGGGCCTAGAGAAGGCCTTGAGCGTGTGTGTGTGTGTGTGTGTGTGGGGGGGGGGTTCTGTTGTTGTTGCTGAGATCCTGAACACAAGACATGCGCTGCATTTCCGGGCCATCCTGAGCTGCTTGGAGGACAGCAGTTGCAGACACAGTCTGCCACCTTCTCTGACCTGGGGTTTTTTGTGTTTGTTTCTGTTTTATTTTAGTTTTTTGCCTCTTTGGCAAAACAATTCCAGAACTTTTATCTGATTTTTTAAAATTGCTTTTTTGTTGTTGTTGTGGGTATATATAGATTTCACTTATTTATTTAAAGATAGGGTTTTACTATATAGCCCTGGCTGGCCTGGAACTCATTATTTATATATGCTAGGTAGGCCTTGAACTTACAGACCTCTGCTTGCCGCTGCCTCCTGAGTACTAGGATTAAAGGCGTGTGCCACCATGTATAGCTATTCTTTTTAAAATCATGTTTTATTTGTTTATCTAGTGTCTATGTCTGCAAGTGTGTGCATGAGCGCATGTGTGCATGCGTGTGAATCCATGCATATATGTACGTGTATGTGTGAGGTCTGTAAGTCAGAGGACAACTTGCCAGTCTCTTTACACCATGTTCCAGACTCTGCAGCAGGTGCCATTACTGCCGAGCCACCTTGCTGGCCCCTAAGACTTTTAATATTAAATTGCAGGTGCTGAAGGTCAGGACAGAGACACCTCCAGAAGGTCTCCAGTGAGCACTAAGAAGCCACCGGCTTGCAAAGCAGAATCCTCTCTTCAGGAACCAACAGGGGCAGCCTAGAAGTGGTACCCAGGGCTCACCTTGAGGAAGCAGAGGAAGATTTCCAGTGTGAGGTGATGCCAAGGCGGGCTGGTCCTTCCCCTGCATCTCTGCATATTCTGCTATGGGTCTGAGGAGGGCCAGGGTCCCAGAACACTGCAGATCATTTCCATCCAGATGCAGCTCGCTGGGGAAGAGGGCAGAAAGCATTGCTCCTTGGCTGTCAGGCTCACTTCAACTTTGAATTTAAAATCCTTCTCCAACAGGACATAACGAGTCATAAATGACAACATAGTCAGTGGATATTTACAGTAAACACACACTACACCATGTCACCAAAGCTGGCTATGCCAGTGGCACAAACCATGCCCTCAGCAGATACCCTTGGTTCTCAAAGGCCTTTTCTCCTCAGGGTAAGAAAAATAAAGGGTGTGTGTGTGGGGGTGGGGGGTGGCTAGGGAAATAGCTTAGTAAGTGAAGTGCTTGCCAAGCGAGCATGAGGACCCATGTTCAGTCTCTAGAACCCAGAGAAAAACACTGGACACTGGGCCGTGGGGATGACCGAGTGGGTAAAGCGCTTGCTATGAAACATAGAGGGCCTGAGTTCAAATCCCCAGCACTCCCGTAAAAGCCAGGCATACCCCAAATACTTGTGATCCCAGCATTGGGGGGGAGGTTAGAGACCATTGGGTCCCTGGAACTTTCTGTTAAGTGAGAGACCTTGTCTCAAAAAGTAGAGAGTGGGAGAGAGGAATCCTTTGATGGACTCTGACCTCCAGATGTGCCTCTGTGTGTGTGTGTGCGCGCACACACACACACACACATACACACGATACAAACAAAATAGAGATAAATTTCTAATGAAATTTAGAGAACAACAACAGCACAGGACATGGTGGTGTGGTTGTTATCCCAGGGTTGAAAGGGAAGGGACAGGCGCATCCTTGGAGCTCTCTGCATTCAGCCTATTTGGTGAGCTTCAAGCCAGTGAGAGACCCCGATTCGAAAACCAGAGGAGAGCACTTGAGGAACGGCAGCTGACGAAGCTGACCTCTGGGCTCCACGTGCACATGTGTGTACACCTTCACAAACATACACACGTACGGTTGGGGGGGGCAAATCTAGCCACCAGGATGCACGGTGCAATGAGACAAGGTGAGCAAGGGCCTGGGGGCAGCTCACCAAACGGCACTCTGGGAGATGACAGAGCCCAGCCTCTGCCCACTCTGAGGCCCGAGGCCACAGTAGCGCAGACTGAGGCCTTGGAGCCTTTGGTTGTTTTCCAGGCCCGAGAAGATACTCTCAAGTTCTTTATTTCCAAACCTGAAAAGACAGAACAGACCACATGGTTTTTAGACTGTATCACAGGCCAAGGGGGACGCTGTGGTTAGTCATGGCAGGGAAATAAAGCGCGGAGAGGTGTGAACCTTTTGCTGGTGTTGTTATTCCCACCCTGACTGTCAGTGGATGTGCTTACGCTCCTGTTCTCGGAGGCAGTTGCTTCGTCCCTTCCTTGTGCCTCAGTGAAGACTGGCCTGTCACCCAAGAAGCCATGCTTTCCCTGACTGAACGCAGACCATGTCTGGGGCATCTTCTATGACATTCAGAGTTTCTACCTTGCACTGTGTATAGTGAAGAGCCTGTCTGCTCTACCACTCTGAAGACGCTTTGGATGCCAGCATCACCTTGTTTGCATCTCTTCTCCTCCTCTTCCTTATCCTCTTCTTCTTTTCTTCTTTCTTCTTCTCTTTTATATTACATCGTGACTGCATTTTGCCCTCCTTCCTCTCCTCCCAGTTCCTCCATCCACCACATCCCCTCTCTCCAAGATCCACTCCTCCTCCTTTCTCTTCAGAAGAAGGCAGGCCTCCCAGGGTTATTAACCAAACTTGGCATATCAAGTTATAATAAAACTAGAAACTTACCCTCATATTAAGGCTGGATGAGGCAACCTAGTAGGAGGAAAAGGGTCCCCAAAGCAGGCAAAAGAGCGACAGCCCCTGCTCCCACTGTTAGGAGTGCCACAGGAACACCAAGCTACACACTATAACATATACGCTGAGAACATAGGTCACACCCAAACAGGCTCCCTGATTGTTGTTCAATCTCTGTGAGCCCCTGTGGGCTCTGCCTAGTTAATTCTGTGTGCCATGTTGGTATCTTTCTTATTTATATCTTTCTTGGTGTCTGTCTTAGGGTTTCTTCTGTTGCTGTGATAAAATACCATGACCAATGCAACTTGGGAAGAAAAGGATTTGTTTAATCTTAACAGCCCATAGTTCATCATCCAGGGAAGTTAGGGCAGGAACTAATCCAGAGGCTATAGAGGAACACTGCTTCCTGGCTTGTTCCTCATGGCTTGCTCAGGTCTCTTCCTTCCTTCCTTCCTTCCTTCCTTCCTTCCTTCCTTCCTTCCTTCCTTCTTTCCTTTCTTTCTTTCTTCCTTTCCTTAGTTTTTTTCAAGACAGGGTTTCTCTGTATTTTTGGAGCCTGTAGACTAGGCTGGCCTCGAACTCACAGAGATGTGCCTGCCTCTGTCTCCCGAGTGCTGGGATTAATACCCAAGCCCACTTTCTCAGGAATGGTGTCATTCATGACTGATGTGGAGACTGGGCCCTCCCACACCAATCACTGATAAAGAAAAAGCAATAGACTTGCCTACAGGCATTTCCTCAGTTAAGATTCTCTTCCCAAATGCCCCTGTCTTGCATCAAGGTGACAAACGCCAGCCTGCACAGCCTCTTTATTTTTCTATCTTCCTTAGCACCTAGCTCTGTGTCCTGCACACGGTCACCTTCAACAAACATTTGCTAAAGGAACAAAGGGGAACACTACCATTTACTTGGGCACAGGAGGAGGAGGATTCTCTTTCTTGTCTGGAGGAGGCTCAAGAACCTGGGTGTGTGGTCCTACCCCCCCCCCCATCCTCCAGCTGTCACCGTCTCGAGCCCAGCCTGCCACAGCTCCACCTTCAGCCTTACTTGCAGTAATCGAGGGCCAGGAAACACAAACTGCTGAACTGCAAAGCTCTCCCCAGTCGCCCCAGGGACCATAGATCCATCTTGCAGTTAACGATCTCCAAGGCGGTAACTGGGCAGATGGTGTGCCCCTTCGACTCCAGAAACAAAGCCTAGGAGATTGAAAAACACTTCCATCAGGACAACTGGTGTGCTCCGCCGTCTCATGTATTCCCAAGCCAAGCCTATGAAGGACCTCAACATTTTTGCCTCCAAGATGCTTTTCCACATCTTGTAGCATGAAAAATAAAGGAGTTTTCCTTTTTAAAAAACAAAGATTCAGAGGGCTGGAGAGATGGCTCAGGGGTTAAGAGCATTGCCTGCTCTTCCAAAGGTCCTGAGTTCAATTCCCAGCAACCCCATGGTGGCTCACACCCATCTGAAATGAGATCTGATGCCCTCTTCTGGCCTACAGGCAGACACACAGACAGAATATTGTATAATAAATAAATAAATAAATAAATAAATAAATATTTTAAAAAACCAAAGATTCATTGAGGAATCCTATGAGAAACACGAAGCCCTGTGGTGAGATACACCGCACTAAACAGTACTTGACTAACACTGCCCCATCGTATCCTGAAGTGCTAACCCAGGCCTCTCAGAAGGCTGCATCATGGATGTAGGCGCCTGTGTGATGATGAGATCTTGAGATGATGCCTAACTTGATTTGACTAGTGTCCTCACAAGAAGAGGACCCTAAGACGACACAGGAAGAAAACCTTGCTGACCCCTGGATTTTAGACTTCAATTTCCAGAAGGAGCAGTTGCTTCAGCCACACAGCCTGTGATGCTGATAGCCTCTTCAGACTACGGCAGATGTCAGTTTTTAAAAACTGATTACTATTAGTGGGGGAGGGACTGCTGTGCCGTGGATGTGGAGGTCAGAAAATGACGCCGTGGAGCTGATTCTCTCTTTTCATTTCTGCATAGGTCCTGGGACTGGAATGCAGGCTTGCCCAGCGAGTGCCTTTACCCCACTGAGCCAGCTTGCCAGGCCTGGATTTGTCAAAAGAATTTGTTTTGTTTTGTTTTGTTTTTAACTTGTTGGTGTGTGTGTGTTGGAGTTGGTGCTCTCCTCCCTTCTTTATGTAGCTTAAGCAGCAAGTGCTTTACGTGCCGAGGCATCTCACTGGCCAGAGATGTTGATTTCTTAACCAGGAAATGCAGCCTCCTGTGCCTGTGCTCTCTTTAACAGAGATGTGGCGTGTGACCCCCTCTGGCATGAGATAAAAACCATAAGAACGTCTTTGTCGTTCCCAGGCCCAGATGTCCTCATTCCAAGGCCTGCTCAGAAGTGGACTGTGCAAACCAGTAGCTGCTATGGGAGCTGCTGCTGGCTTGGGCTGTACACATGCATCTGCGGTCCCCACAGCATCTGCTCCAGAGTGGAGAGGTCCACAGACAGGTCATTTTGTGGTAGCCAAGGATACCAGTGATGGTTAAATCCCTGCCTGAAAGGAAAGAGCATTTAAAGCCTCGAGTCGTGAGGCTTGCGTGAGCTGCTTTTCAGCCATCACAACCAGCAGAGCACACTCATTCAGCTCAGAACAGAAACCTTGAGACTGCTTGGGTGGATTCGGAAGGCTAAGGTCAGATCTAGGATTTCCAACTTTTTCTTGGCTGAGATTGCAAAATTGAGCCATAGCCACAGGGCCAGTGCTAACAGGGCAACACCTTTAATCTCAGCACTCAGGAGGCGGAGGCAGAGGCAGGAGGATTTCTGAGTTTGAGATCAGCCTAGTCTACAGAGTTGCAGGACAACTAGGGCTACACAGAGAAAATCAAAGAAAAACAAGTGGAACTTACTTAAGAGTTATTTAAAACTTATTTAAGATGAGGAACTCATTTAAAATATGTTAGAAGAATCTCACTAAAATAATGTCTTTTTTTGTTGTTGTTGTTGTTGTTTTCGAGACAGGGTTTCTCTGTAGCTTTGGTGCCGGTCCCGGAACTAGCTCTTGTAGACCAGGCTGGCCTCGAACTCCTAGAGATCCGCCTGCCTCTGCCTCCCGAGTACTGGGACTAAAGGTGTGCGCCACCACCGCCCGGCTAAAATAATGTTTTTAAGAAAGAAAATCATGCAGAATATCAGTGAGTCAGAAATAAACTACATCTGGAATACAGGCTTTGATCTTAAGGTTTGAAGAAACTCGAAAGCACACTCACGAGCCTGGCGATCTCGGGATTGGTCAGCTGAAGGCCCCAGATGCAGAGTTCCCTCCCCAGCGTGTAGTGCTCATCCCGAATCGCCATGAGCAAAGGCTCCAAGGAAACAGGCGGGTGGCTCGCTGTGGCGTCACCAGCTCTCACGAGCGTAAACTGGAGTGGAAGAACCGTACAGGTGGCCGTCAGCAAGAGACACCCGCGCATCTGGGTGTGTGGGGAAGGAAGGAATGGCGCCACCAGAAGACTGGACGACTGCTTGAGGTGGTTAGTGCCTGTGTAGTGGGATGGTGGTGGCCCAGCTGACGGCATCCCTGCCATGAACAAGCTCATGGCTCTGTGGGTCAGTGTTACTGCCTGCTATTAGGTCACAAAATCAATTTAGCTTTGTGCAGCCAGCCTCTCCTTTTTCTCTTAGGAACTAGAAAGGCAGGGAAACCATTGGGTTGCATCTTTACATAGCAAGGATAAGAATGATTGATTATAAGGTTTTTTTATTTTTTAAGACTTATCTATTTTAGTTTTATGTGTCTGCATGTTCTGACTGTGTGTGTGTGTCTGTGTGCATGTGTGCAGTGCCCTGGGAGGCTGGAAGAGGGCGTCAGATTTCCTGGAACTGGAGTTAATAGGAGCCTCCTTGTTGGTGCTGGGAACCAATCTTGACACTCTTTTCAAGCAGCAATTTGTCTCTCTCTCTCTCTCTCTCTCTCTCTCTCTCTCTCTCTCTCTTTCTTTTTTTTTTGAGACAGGGTTTCTCTGTGTAACCCTGGCTGTCCTGGACTTGCTCTGTATAGACCAGGACGGCCTTGAACTCACAGAGATCCACCTGCCTCTGCCTCCTGAGTGCTGGGATTAAAGGTGTGTGTCACCAGTGCCCAGCAAGCAGCAAGTATTGTTTTTTTTTTTTTTTTTTTTTGGGTTTTTCGAGACAGGGTTTCTCTGTGGTTTTGGAGCCTGTCCTGGAACTAGCTCTTGTAGACCAGGCTGGCCTCGAACTCACAGAGATCCTCCTGCCTCTGCCTCCCGAGTGCTGGGATTAAAGGCGTGCGCCACCACAGCCCAGCGCAGCAAGTATTCTTAACCACTGACCTACCTCTCCAGCCCCCAGAAGGCTCTTAATGATATTCATAATTAAACGAATATCAGATGGGAGAACCCCCATCTGAGCAAGCTTCCCACTTATGCAGCCCCTTTAGCTGTGTCTAACCACATGGGGCGCTAATCGTATTTCAGACGATGGATGTAATAAAAAGTTAGGTGAAGGTTAACTATAAGAACTATAGTAAAAACAAAAATTAGTGGGCTTGAGAGATGGCTTAAGAGCAAGTTAGTCAGCTAACAGTGTCCTGTAACTCCAGCTCCAGGGTTTCCAATGGCTTCTTGGTACACTTCCCCCATACATATAACTGAAAAATAAAATCTTTTTAAAAATTAACCAATATTATTTACCCCCCCCCAAAAAAAAGGGGTGATTGTGAGGCTGGAGAGATGGCTCAACAGTTAGGAGCACTTGATCCTCTTGCAGGGGACCAGCGTTCGGTTTCTGCATCCACACGGGAGCAGCTACAGTCCCAGGGCATCTGATGACCTCTTCTGGCCTCTGCCAGCACCCGCACATGTTTGGTGCACACACAGACAACCGGGAACACACACATATACATGATTTTTGTTTCTGAGACAGGGTTTCTCTGTGTGGCTTTGGAGCCTGTTCTGGAACTAGCTCTTGTAGACCAGGTTGGCCTTGAAGTCGTAGAGATCCAATTGCCTCTGCCTGCCAAGTGCTGGGATTAGTCTGCGCCACCACCTCCCAGGATTTTTAAAACACGTGGATTTAAAAAAAAAAAAATGGTTGTGGGAGGCCCCTCACTGGAGCAGGGAGATGCGTGCGGGGACAGCTGAAAAAAAAAAAGGGGGACTAGAAAAACCCTGAGGGCCTATGAGGTTGGCAGAGAGGAACAGGTGGGGAGAGAGGCTAGAGGGAAGGAGGATACACCTCAGGGAGGCCAGAGTCCAGAAAGAGGGGGGCTTAAAGAGGAACTCCTGAATCCCCCGACAAACACATTCTGGCAGTCAAAGAGGGGCAGGTGCGTGGTTTGGGGGAGGGGGCAGAAGAGTGGCCAGGCCCTCGGTTTCCAGTGAGTAAAGCTGAGTACGTCACTCCGTCACTCGTCACTCCGTCACTCCGTCGGGCAGTGCCGAGTTGGTGGAGAGTCAGCTTTGGACTGAACCCCAGGGACGGATCCCCACTCACCTTCCTGAGGATCTGCTCTCTGTCAATGCTGTTCTTCAGGTCCCTTTGGATGGTGGGACACAGGGACGTCCCAGACTGCACGCAGTACTTCTGGTATGTCTTCAAGAACTTCTGAAGAACGGGGACCACCGACGGGGAAGCCCCTCGAGGTTTTTCTTTTCTTTTCTTTGCTCTTGGCATTGTTTTTACAGCGTTTGATTCCACTTGGCTTCTGAAAACAATAACTTAAGCTGAAGTCGTGCCTCACCCTTGAAATCCAGAAAACACTGTTGTGTGCTCTTCTCCAAGAACCTTAAAGGCTTCGCTTATCCTAAGTGGCCCTAGTGAGTGGAGTTAGAGCCACTACACAGCCGTTCAGTCTCCAATGTCCATAGTCATGTGTACATATTTTTGTTTCTTTCTTTATATTGAGTGCGGTGCTCATGGACTCAGTTATGAGGAGGGACGATACTATTAATTCACGGTACTATTTAGTACCTATTAATGCAGATACACTGGCTTTAAAGTGGCATAGTTCTCTTTACTGATTCAGTTCCTGCCAGACTGTGCCTACTGACATGGTTCAGAAGGTGGCCTTTGAGCTGGAAATATAGTGTAGCTGTAAAGTGTGTGTCTAGTGTGCATGAGGCCCTGGGTTCAATACTGAAAAAAAAAAAACCCAGGCATTTAGAATGTACATTATATTGGTAAATTGTCCTATGCCATTTAAGTTCACTGTGAAGATGGTTCTGCAAGGCCCCCTCCCTTCAGAGCTAAGCCCATTTATGTCAGGTGGCCTCCATCAAAGACTCCAGAAGGATATAATATTACCTAAGTAAACAAGAAGTAAGCAACTTCCAAAACTCTAGAAATGACAGAGACAACTCACAACAAGTCCAATGTGAGCTTTGTTGCACGGCGAGACTTTTCTTCACAGTGTTTTTAAATAAATTACAACAGTTGGGGCCTGGGTGCTCTAAAGTCAGTCACAATAAACCATGGGCGAACTCTTACTGAGTTCTCTTACCTGTGCGGCCAGGCTTTACCATCTTATCTGAAGGCAGCTCTCACTCTGCAACTGCATCTCACTTGAGAAACAGGACACAGTCTGAGGCAAACAGGACACAGTCTGAGGCGGTGCCAATCAGAGCCTGAGGAAGCATTGGAGAATCCCAGTTACCCCAGAGGTGGGGGGAGTGTAGAGCAGGTCCTGGGGTGGGGATGGAATGTGAGGGCGGTGTCCTCTTGGGGACCTTTGAAATCCTGGCCACTCTACTCCAGCCTGGTGCAGGTGCTGAACACCACCCAAGTGTTGCAATCCTGTTTCCTGCGTCCTCTGTTGCCATAGAGATGGGGACTCCAGACAAGCTGAAGGCAAAGAGGGCTGAAAGAATCTTGCTGTAGGCAATGGCTACAGAGTTAAGAACTTTCTGACTATATAGGAAGTGGGGAAAGGCCTTAGGGGACAAACACTGGATTGGGGGTCCAAACCCTGAGGGGCTATTATACTCCCCCATCTCAGCAGGCCTGAGAAACTCCCAGTCTGTGGTCAGGGACAGAGATGAGACCCAAGAAGGATGTCAGAAATGCCAGGAGGACTCGGTGCAGCTGTTGGCTCTAACAGTGGAGGAAGGGACACTGGAGTCAGGAAATGTGAGTGGCTTCCAGAAGCTGAAGAATGGAAATAGATTCTCCAGAGTTCCATAAAGGACTACGGTCCCGTCGGACCAGCTTTGATTTTAACTCAGTGGGGCCCAGTGGGACTTCTGGCCTCCATAATGGTCACATAATAATCATTTCTTCTCCTCCATCCCTCCCTCTCTCCCCCCCCCTCCTCTCCCCCCTCTCTCTCTCTCTCTCTCTCTCTCTCTCTCTCTCTCTCTCTCTCTCTCTCTCTCCTCTCCTCTCCTCTCCTCTCCCTCTCCCCTCCTCCACCTAACTCCTGTATGGGTGCACGTGGAGACACTTCCGGTGTCCTCTTCGGCCATCCTCCATCTCACTCAACCTAAAGCTCACCAGTTCGGCTAGAACAGCAAGCCCGGGGGAGCCTCCTGCCTCCCCTGCCCCAGGGCTGGGATTATAGAGCCACAGCTGGGCACTGGGCACTGGGCATTGGGCTGTTTTACATGAGAGCTGGTATCTGAACCGTGGTCCTGACGTTTGCACCTCAGGCTGCGGTGGCTTTCGGAGAAGCAGCTGCCTTGGAGTGGTCCATGCTTCTGTGAGTAACCGCCGGCTCACATTTCTGTAAGTGATCCTAGTCAACGCATCGGCTCACCAACGTGCACTTTGGGGTGTTACTTTGGTCTGTTGTTGGTTCCCTATCTGGGCTGAGTAAATATTTGTTCATGTCTCCCCAAGAATAGCCTTATACAACAACATCCCACACCTTGGCTCCTACTTCAGGAAGTAATTGAAAGTGTAAGAGTTAGCTGACCGGCAGCTACTGGACACAGAAACTCCAGTTAATGCGACAGCAGAAATAAGACATGCTTAGACACCGGGTAGTGAGAAGTGCTGATACCGGTTTGGTATCTTGATGTTACAACAAATGCAGGATTTTTCTTGCCCTACTCTTCCATCTTCAATGAGGGGATGGGCAAGGGTAACATTATTTCCCCTTTAATTGGGATAAGAGGAGCCTCCAATGCAGGATTCTCTAATGGAAAGGAAATTCAAACCCCACGGCCAAGGAAGCTGCAAAGAAAACAAAAACACTAGCTGCCCAAAGCCCCCCCCCCCATTCTTTTAGGTTTTATTTTATTTTCAATTATGTGTATATGTATGTATTTGGTATTGACATATGAGTGCAGATGCCCACAGGGACTAAAGGCATCAGGTCCCCCTGGCAGATCCCTCTGGATCTGGAGTTATAGGTTGTTGTGAACTGGCTGATGTGGGTGCAGGGAGCTGAGCTCCTGGCCTCTGCAGAAGCACTTTTAACTGTTGATCCATCTCTCCAGCCGCGTTGCTTGACAGTTGGGTCCTTGAGCGCAGCAATAAAGCTAAAAAAAAACAAAAAACAAAAAACAAAAAAAACCCAGCAGATGATGAACCATGGAGATCATCAGAGCAATCAGGTCACTTTTGACAGCTCTCTCCTGATTGGTCTTATTTCCAACCTTATTTGTATATCCACATCCGGCCCCTCATAGTCCAGCTGGTACTCCATAACCCACACGTTCTGGGGCTGCAGGAATGGAAGACGCGATGAGAATTCGATGGAGGAGGAAGAGAAAAGAAGATTGGGACCCAGACGCTTCAGAAGCTCCCTGCATCCAAGGCTTCTGCCCTGGGCTGGGAACTCATGGGAGCCAGCCGCTAAGCCTCAGCCAAAGCGGGGGAAGCAGAGGGGCTCACTCCTGCCTCCGCCTCCAACACATGCTGCAACTGCAGACAGGAATTTGTCACTGCATCTGCTTCTAGCCTTCGAGACCTGCCAGCCACAAGAGACCTGCCACCTTGCTGATCCGTGGGTGCCCTGCTTTCTCAGACCTGCTCTGCAGGGGACCTCTCTTAGTTGACACCCCCAAACCCTCCGAGAGTCTCCCAGAGCTGTGACACCTTCTCAGAGCGGGAATGACTACCAGAACACTGCTGCCAAGAGCTCGGGTTTGACCTGAATTGTCAACTCCCACCTGACAGTCTGTTTAAAGTTAATTAGTCCCAAATCAGTAAGAAAGCACTTTGTTCAAACGTTCTCCCATTCCATCCTTAGAAGGACAGTGGACAAGGAAATGGCCGGAGACAGGATACAGCTCCGTCCACTGCTTTGCTTGCACGATCAGCTGCTGTAGGTCAGGGTCTCTTGGGCTCCTGACAATGGCCAGTCAGAAAGGAAGAGGCCTTTTGTAAGAAATGCTACCCCCAAAAGTTAGGAACACCCACCTACTGATTTAAGTATCTAAAGTAGAGATGCAATGTGCACCTCAGGAGGTGCCCTTCCCAAGGGATGTGACGGCACCATGGGGTATGCACCAAGGCTCCCCGAATAATGCTGGGGTACTGCAGGATGGAGGAGAGTGAAGAGCCTGGAGTAAACAGCCAGCAGGGCCTGCCCAGGGAGCCACATTTTTCATGTAAAAGTGTTTAATAAGCCGGGCAGTGGTGGTGCACGCCTTTAATCCCAGCACTCGGGAGGCAGAGGCAGGCGGATCTCTGTGAGTTCGAGACCAGCCTGGTCTACAGAGCTAGTTCCAGGACAGGCTCCAAAGCCACAGAGAAACCCTGTCTTGAAAAAAAAAAGTGCTTAATAGCGTGTTATTCATACATATAAAATGGAAACTATGAAGGTCAGAAATGACAGTACATTTATTTGAAGGAGGGAGTCACTGAAATTAAAGTGAGTAGAACTGGCTTCCTACCAGATTTGCCTAACTCCAAGCCCACATTCTCACTGGCTAACCTTCTCAGGGCTTAACAAAACCTCTCACAAGAACAGACCAGAGCAAAACAGAAAGCCCCCGCCCCCAAACTTTGGAAAACGCCCTGTCTAAGAGCTAGGATCATTGGAGAGTGTCCTCCCCAGCCCACATCCCAGCTGTTGTCTCCTACCGGTGCCTGTGCTGGAGAGGGAACCCTGGGCTTTGTGTGTCTAAGTACTGGCTCTGTCCCCGAGCCACGCCCTACCCCTCGGGAGTTACTTCTGAGAGAGAGAGAGAGAGAGAGAGAGAGAGAGAGAGAGAGAGAGAGAGAGAGAGAGGTAGACTACTCTGAGGTCCTTGGCTTGCCCCCTGCTGAAAGGAGAGAGCAGCCGAAAGTTTGGACGTCCTCCCTGGGCTTCTGCCTGCTTTACTGCATCCACTGTCATAAAACACCCCAAACCTTTAGCCAGGGCAGGGCGTATGGAGAAGGTGGAGGGGAGAGAAGCCGGTCTTGGGGAGTTGGGAAGACGGTGCACTGACTTTTCAGCAGTAATAGACGATGGTTTTGAAGTTAAGGACTTTTTCTTTCGTCTTAAGCTGTCTCTCTTGGCATCATTGTTCTATTGTATGTGGACTAACAGTCGTGCAGGATGCAAACCGTGTCACCTGATTACGTTTCTCAGGTCACCTAACCTCTAGAAAAGTGCCCCACCCTCCCTCCTGATCTGTCTCACAGGTAAAGCTTGATTCTGAGTTAGTCTTTCTGTTCGTTACTAAGGGTGGCTCAGGTTTGGTGGGAGAGGAAACATTACTGCTTTTTTGTAACCATAGTGTGGTTGGATATATAAAGAACCTTAAATTAGATAGGTCTCAAAATTGAACTCTCATTTTTCCCTCAAAGCCACGCTCCTGTTTACCGAATACCCACAGCACTGTATACTCTTTCCACGCTTTGCAGGAAGGCTGCACAAAGACTCACCCTGCGGCGACAGGACACTCTTCCACTCCTTCAGATGGGTGACTCTGTGCCACTCATGGTTGCTGGGCCCTTTCCCACTTCCCCGCAGTCTCAACAATCATAGCGCTGATCTCAGCTAACATGAACTGACGGAGTGGCTTGAGAAAAGAAACGTAATCATTTTGCCTTCAGCCTTCGGCAACAATAAAAATGTACTCACCGGGGAAGTAGTTCAGGGGTAGACCATTTGCTCTGTATGCGAAAGGCTCTGGGTTTTTATTTACTTATTTACTATTTATTTACTTATTTATTTGTTTGTTTGTTTTATTGGACAAACAAAAATAAATGAACGAAACAAAGGCATAAATACAAGTATGGTAAAGAAACCTCGGAGAGGACAGAGTCAAGTTCCTCAGAGTGCTTGCTTTACGGTGCCCCGTCCATCCTGTGATTCAGTCCTGATGATATGGAATGGTTTACTCCTCATGGACGAGGGCGACTCTTGGCCCATTTCATTTCCATTCTGTGGTGTAACTCTTTCGTACACTGTGAAGATGTGTTGTCCTCATTGGTTGAATAAAGAGCTAACTGGACAATAGCTAGACAGGAAGAGGTCAAGTGGGAGAGCCAGACTGAGAGAACTCTGGGAAGGAGGAGGGGGAGTCTCCAGGAGAGGTGGAGAGAAGGAAGATGAATACACTGTGTTAAAGAAATGCACCGAGCTATGTGGTAGACTGTAGATAAGAAATATGGGCTAATTTAAGTAATAAGAGCTAGCTAGTAACAAGCCTAAGCTATCGGCTGAGCATTTATAGTTAATAATAAGTCTCTGTGTCATTTATTGGGGACTCAGTAGTCCTGAAGAAAAATTCTGCCTATACATCCATATTCTTTTTATTTTTTTTAATGGTACTGCACTACAGCCCCACCCCTTCACATGAATTTCAAATCAGTTGTTCAAAATCCATAGAAAGTTCTATTGGAAGTTTGATTGGAGGGCCAGGGAGATAGCTCATTGAGAACAGGTGCTAGCTAGCCATACAAGCCCAGCAGACTGAGTCCCGCCCCAGGTAAACAGCCAGATGGCTAATTCAGGACTCTTGCAGTGGGGTGGGAGGCAGAGTCTGAGCATCACCCAGAAGCTGGGGAAGCTCAGGCCAGCTGGGAAGGCCTGGAGTCCATCTGAAGCTCTTCCCCACTGTGGCTTCATTGGTCAGCTGTAAACCTTCTGGCTGGCTGGGGGGTGGGGGTGAGGTGGGGCAGATCTCAGATCCAGCAGCTGAGGTAGCTGAGGTTGGAGAGGAGAGAGGCTGGGGCTGTGGGGTTGGCATCCTTAAAGCATACAGGTCTGGGGAGTGGTGATGAGGGGCAGGGGTCCCGACTGAGCAGCCACAGAAGGCCTGGAATGGGGTGCTAGTGGGTCCGTAGCTGCCTTT